CGTTTTTATTTATTTGTTTGCTTTGTTCCGTTTTTTCTTTCTTTTTTTTCCCTTTGCGCGGAGAGCGGCGCGCCCGCCCCGCCACCCCCCGCGCTCCCGCGGCCGCGAGTGTGTTTCCTCGGGCCGCTTTCGTTCGGGCCTCAATTTTCCTTTTTTCTTCCCCCCCCCCTTTTTTTTTTCATTTTTTTTTAAACTAACTTTTAATTAACCTCTTTATTATTCTTTTTTCTTGCCTGCCCCGAGCGGTTTTGCGCCTCCGGCCTGCGCGCCCCGCTGGCGAACACGGAGCCGCGGGTAATTCCGCGGTCGCGGGGGAAAAAATCACGTGTGGGGAGGGATTTTTTTAAATTTTTTTTTTTAACGGAGAGAAGTGTCTTTTTAGAAAAGTGCAAAGAAACTTGGCGGGCTCTTTTGAAATAATAGTTTTTGGCGCCCGATTTTGGAAGTTTTTTGTTTCGTTAGTTGTTTGCTTGTTCAAAWTTTTTTTTTTCTTTGCCTGTTACTTACTTTGCACAGGAAATTTGAATATCCTGGCAAACGGCAGCTCCCAGCGAAGCTTCGTTCGTTGGATTTGTCCCGTTCGCTCATCTGCTCAAAGAGATGTGGCTTTTTTTCCTTTTTTTTTTTTCTATTTTTTCCCCTAAATCCATCATTTTTACCCTATTTACATCAGGTATACAAACTTTTTTTTTCTTCCTTTTTTTTTTTTTTTCTTTTTCCCACTTTAACAAAATCAGCTTTTTCTAAAACTAAAACACAAAATCTTTAGGAATTAAAAAATAATAAAAAAGACGCTTTTCTGTTGCGATGGTACGAACGTAGGTGAGTGAACATCTGCCAAGTTTCATCATCTTCTGCTCTGGAGAAATCAAAGAAGTCGCCATCGACTGTGAAAGTCCTTATTTAGTTAATCCACTTTGGTGGGAAACTTAGCAAAACTGAGCTGTTAAGGCAATAAACATTTATGAAGTATAAGTGGGAAGCTTCAAGTTAATGCTTCAGGCGAGCTGACCCGTTTTATAGATGTTACTTGCATATATATATATATGTGTGTATGTATGTGTGTGTCTATATAAAATAGTGTGTGCTGGTTTTGAATTAATSTTTATTAACCGAATATATATTTTTTTTCCCGTTCTTAACAAAAAAAACTTTGTAGGATTCGYGCTTCCCGATCTGTCTTGTTTAAAACTGGACGAGATGACAATGCAAAAAATGGAAGTAACAAGAAGCATCATACTTCTCTTCGGCAGTGTTGAGAGAAAACTCTGGATCCTGGAATTTTCCTGTGGATTTTGCTGTTTTTCTGGAGTACTGTAAGTTGAAGTCTCATCCTGCAGGCCTTTGCACATATCTCGGTGTCATGTTCATAGACCCGTCTTGATATAGTTRAATTAGTTAGAATATTTGAGTCAAAAATACGTAAATTTAATGATTTTTTTTATATTGTTTGAATATGCTCTTTGTAGTAGCAATTYAGTTTTGGATGTTCCGTTCCATGTAGAGGCATGCTAAAGTTATGTAATTTAACATGCAGAAAGCACACTATGTTAAAATATAAATGTAGCTCCAAAGTGCCTTTATTTATCTAAAATCCCTGCTCCTCCTCTAATTTTCTTTTCCTAAATAAGTTAGTGAGGAAAGAATATTTTTAAAGTGTCCGAAAAGTTATCCACCCTCATGTAGCTTTGATATATAAGTGTATATTGAAATATATTTAATGCGTTTATTTGCTGCCGCTTGGGAATGAGCCTTGGCCTCGCGGGACGGGTGCAGCAGGGATTTTTTGTGTGGCATTTGCACGCCGAGGGGATGCGCCGCGGACGCCTGTGCAAATGAAAGTAACTCCGCTGTGTGCAGTTCCCACAACTGACTGTTAGTGCTGCTTAATAGTCGTTGCTCTTCACACCGCTCGGCTGCCACTGACTCGTGACTCAGGTCGTGTCGGAAACAGAAAAAAATTGGGGTTTGATTTTTGGTTCTCGCTATTTGCCACACCTGTAAATATTAATACAGGCTTTCATTTAAATTTCATTGTTCAAACGAAGGCAGAAATGAAAGTAGTGATTTTTCAGCCCCAAGCAGGCCCGAAGTGTTTCAGTGSGTGCCGCTCGCTCCTTTCCTTTGTTTTTTCCCATTAATATAACCATAAATGTCTCACGAATGTCTGGGACCCTCAACTGTAATGAAATAATTTATTTTAGTCTTTTTGTAAAGTAAAAGCATTTTTCTTGTATTTATTTTATTTTTTCCAAAGGAGAACAATATCTTCAGGATTTTTCATGCCATTCTCTTGAAAAAYAATTTGATCGCTTTTCTCTTTCCTCTGTGCCTAAATATATGGGAAATGCTTATTATTGACTTGTCTTTGAGCTTGCTTAGCAGTGTACAAGTCGGTGAAGTCTGTGTATGCAAATCTGTCCTGTCATGGGCTCGTATATTTATTTCCTTTCCTTTCCCATGGCGCTCTTTCTTTCTCTCTCTTTCTTTCTTTTTTTTTTCTTTTTTTTCTAATTTTTTCTTCTGTTTCCTTTTTTCTGAATTTTTTTTTTTTCCTTTTAATTATACTTTCGATAGAGATGCATTTAAGGGAACCCTCTTATTTCAGGATGAATTTGTGTGTGTGGTTGGGGTGGGGGGAAGGATTGTTTTCTACTTAATTGCCCAATATACTTTGGCAAGCTGAAGT